CCACCCTAGGTGTACGTGGCTGGCACCTTAGCCGATTGAGCCACAGGCGCCGAGCCTAGGCAGTGGTTTCTTACATAGGGCATCAAAAACACAAGCAACAAAAGGGAAAGGAGATAAACTGACCTTCATCTAAATTAAAAACTTTTCTGTATCAAAGGACACAACAAAAAAGTGAAAAGAGGCCTGGCCCAGCGTCTCATGCCTGTAATCCCAGCACTCTGAAAGGCCGAGGCTGGTGGATTGCCCGAGCTCAGGAGTTTGAGAACAGCTGAGCAATAGTGAGACCCTGTCTCTAAAAATAGCCAGGTATTGTGGTGGGTGCCTGTAGTCTCAGCTACTTGGGAGGCTGAGGAAAGAGGATCACTTGAGCCTAAGAGTTTGGGGTTGCTGTGAGCTATGATACCACAGCACTCTACCAAGGGTGACAAAGTGAGACTCTGTCTCCAAAAAAAAAAAGTAAAAAGAAAACCCACTGAATGGAGAATGCTTTCATAATCATGCATCTGATGTAAGAAATTTGTATTGAGAAAACGTAAGAACTCCTGCAACTCAATTATAAAAAGACAAAATAACCCAATTAAAAGATGGGCACAACTGATGCACACATGCCCAGCTCTGGCTCCACATCTTAAAACTAGAGTGACAATTTCTGAATCCCATGTCCTCATTTTCTTTTCTTTTCTCCCAGTTCCTGCTCCTCCAAAAACCAAAGCAAAGGCTTTGAAGGCCAAAAAGGCACCACTGAAAGGCATCCACAGCCACAAACACAGGTCATGTGTTGCCTGCCTTCCCATGGCCCACGATACCCTGGCTCCACAGGCAGCAAAATACCTCTGCCCCCAGGAGAAATAAGCCTGACAACCAAGCTGTCACCTGACTGCTGAGCCTGCCACAAAGAGGAAAGGAAACAACAGCATGTTGTGCCTGTGTAGATGCAAACACCAAAAGGCGCCAGACCCTGACCAGCCTGCTAGAGAGAAGCCTGGTGAGGAGGATGCCTTGGGGGCTGACAACAGAATGGGGTCCTCTGGACCTGAGTCCAGCAGGCTAATTCCTGAGGTCCTCAGACAGGAACAGGTTGAGGGAACCAGGACCAACCTCCCTGGGTGCTAATTAGCCCAGGGCTGCTAATTAGCAGGCTAATTCTCAATATATGTCTTTTCACTATATTAAAAAAATGGGCACAGGCTCAGAATAGATGTTTCTCCAAAGAAGATAAGCAGCCAATAGCACATGACAAGATGCTCAGCCTCACTGACCACCAGGAAACACAAATTATAGCCACTACAACATGCCACCAAGGAGGAAGGAAAATTTGAGTTCTGCTGGGGGTGGAGGGACTCAGAAAGTATTCCCAGGACAACCAAAGGCACAGTGGCTAGAGGAGTTGTTTGCAGGGGACACAGAATTCTTTCCATTGAAGTCAGGGGACAGCATCACCACTTTTAAAGGTTCCCCCACCCCTTTGGGATCCCTGTCCTCACCTTGCCATAGAGCTCCTCCAGTCCCCCACCCACACTACCAGCTTCCTGCACCCCACAGTACACTCATACCTGCAGGCCTGGGTGCTGTGTTCCTCTGCTCACCTAGCTGTTGATGGTCACTTGGTCTTGGGGCCATGTTCCCCTGAAGCAGCCTTCCTGGGTACCTGGCCTTGGGACTCTGCTGTCTGCCTGCCATCCTGCCTGCACCCACCCCCTGGGTCTGGTGGGCACAGTGAAGGGCAGCTCTCAGGAGGACAGGGACATCTCCACCACTCACCGGGTCTAGAAGCTCATCATCCAGCTCCATGTTACTCATCTGTCCGATTTGGAAAAATGCAGAACGAGGTGACTAAAAGCAGAAGAGAAATCATGAGGGCATATGAACACCAGAAGGTGGTGACTGCATGTCCTTCCTTCCTCCCCAATTTCTGGCTCCCCCCCACCCTGCCCAGGGAGCTCAGACAGGAACAGGTTGAGGGGACCAGGACCAACCTCCCTGGGTGCGAGAGCCCAGGGCTGCTCCAGCCACTCATTGCCTGTCGAGGAAAAGGCCAGCCCCAGCAGGGACACTCTAGGCTCCCTGCTCTAAACTGAAGATGAGGCACCTACCACCCCACAGAACCCCACAGCCAAGCCAGCACCCCTGCCACGGGGCCTCTACCCTTCCTGCCAGCTGGTCCTGATGTCCTGCTTGGCCCCCTGCCACCTCCACAAAGTCTGTTCCAATGTGGCTCCTCAGGGTCCCAAGACACAGACAGCTTCACATGCCTGGCCTGTCTTTAAGTGTGTTAATGCTGCCTTCCTTCCTGGAGAGGTAGCTGTTGGGCAGAGCTGGTCAGCCAGTACCACTGCTATGGCACCCATGTAGCTCTCTGTAACGCTGTCACCAGTGCCTCCTCAGTGGATGCAAACCCACTGAGCACTGGCCAGGATGAGGTGGCCAGGCCTAAAATGGACCAAGTAAGGCCAAGGCCAGGCCGGGATAAGATGGGCACTCATGTGCTCACCCTTCTATCTCCAGAGGCTACATTAGTTCTCCAATTTCAACTATTTCTTCAATCTACCAATATTTCTGGGGGTGGGAAGGGAAGAAGGGCTGGTTCCTCAGGTGAGGTCAATGAGCCCCATGAGGAGAAATAAGCACCAGAAATCAGCTCTACAGTGGAGAAGCAACCCCGAGGCTGCCATCCCTACCCTGGGTGGTGGCTGTCCTAGCTGCCTCGTTTGTCCACCTGCTGATCTCCCCTCATCCTCCCCACTAACATTCTCTGTACCCACCCAGAAAGCCGTAGTGGTTCTTGGTGACACAAAACCAAAGGTAACAGTGTCAGGAGCCAGCTGGGCCAGGATGAGGACAGGATAAGGCTCTCAGCCTGCCAGGCAGGGCACACAAAGTGCTTGCTGGGCCATTGTACTGACCATGAAATGATCAACTGCACATCATCAAGAACCACAGGGATCCAAAGTGAGACCCCACATAGCATATGCCCTGGAGGTTTGTCAGCAGTATCTGAGGACCACACTGCGAGAGGTGTGAGGACAGTCTCACAATTTGCCCTGTGTACCAGGCCTGGAGAACTCGCACTGGGCCACATCCGCACCCACATGAGCATCATCAGGCAGCAGCGGGAAGAGGTGTGCATGTGTGCAGCCGACAGAGGCGCATGTGGCAGGTGGGACACCCACCCTAATTAGGGAATTCATCCATTATTCCTGCCTAAAATGAAAGGATACAGCTTAGAAAGCAGGACCCTGCCGGATTTCTTCAGCTTTATCTTTTATGCTGGAAAAAACCCACATTTACTTGAAGCAATTCTTGGTATAGTCCCTTTCTTTTGCAAGCGTAAGTTAAATACTTGTTCCTAAACCACTAACACACACAAGCTGAATGAACCTGAAGGGCATGACTCACTGAGAGAGGTCAACCCACAGAACACTCCACAGAACAGCTTGCCACCCAGTTCTCTAATGCTAGATGCAGACTGCAGGCTGGAGAGGAGGCACTGGTGGCCAGGGCTAGGAGGGCTGTGACTGCAAAGAGGCTGGAAAGAGAGATCTCTGTGGTGATGGAAACATCCTGCATCTTACACTGCACCAGGACTAGCTTGTGGATCTGTATGGGCTCCAGCTGCATGATGCAACCACTAACGGACACATTAGGAGCTGGCTCAAGTAAGCAGAACTCAAGGGACCACTGGGGATGACTAGAGGACCTTCCTTGTAGCTGTGGGACACCCCCAGGCCTCTAGCATTCCTCAGACTGTGCTCCCTGGATCTAACCTAAGATCCCTACCCTGTTGGGGTCTCAGGCTAAGCCCCCAGGAATGTCTTACCTTTACATATACGTCAAATACCCCTCCCCCCCACCTCTGCAGCCGTCTGATCCTGGCTCAAGCAGATTTTTTCTTTCAACTGCTAAGTGAAACTAAATCAACTAGATTCTTTCTGTAAGTTCTCAAAATGGTTGGCCCCCACTGCTTACAACCATGCCCATGACTTGCTGGCCGACTTCACCCAGACAGGCAGTGACCATCATCTCCTCACCCAGCAAGCCAGGACTCAGAACAGGAACAGCAATCCAAAGGCAGCCCTGAGGGCCTGTGCTGCTGCCCAGCCTTGATTAGACCCCTCCCCAGGATGCCCTGGCCACCACAGCTACCTTCAGGGTGCTCAGCTAGCTGTGCCTGTGCAAATGTGGCAACAATGCCACTGTCCAACTCTGGACAGGGCCGGGAAGCAGCTACGACAAACACTCACATTCTGTTTGCGGGATCACTCCTACAGAGAAGTTATTGGCCTGGAGGCCGGTCTGTATACTACCACAGTGGCCCTGCACCTAACTGTGACCTCCGCCTGCTGTGACCTCCATCTGCTGGTCAGAGCAGATTCTCCCCCAAGAAAGACAGCATCAAGAAATCTAAGGACCTGCCAACAGAGTCACAGATGAATGTCAAAAACAAAGATGAATCCCTTTTGCGTCACTGCTTTTAACATTACTGAGAACAACTAATACATATTTATTAAAAGTGTGGTTTTTGGCTAGGTATAGTGGTTTATGCCTATAATCCTAGCACTCTGGGAGGCCAAGGCGGGAGGGTTGCTTGAGCTCAGGAGTTGAAGACCAGCCTGAGCAAGAGTGAGACCCCATCTCTCCTTAAAATAGAAAAACTGAGACAGGAAGATCACTTGAGCCCCAGAGTTTGAAGTTACTGTGAGCTATCATCATGCCACAGCACTCTGCCCAGGGCCACAGAGTAAGATTCTGTCTCAAACAAAAAATAATAATAATAAAATAAAATCTAGCCTGGCCTTGTGGCAGGTGCCTGTAGTCTCAGCTACTCAGGAGGCTAAAGGAAGAATCTGGGAATTCGAGGTTGCAGTGAGCTAAGCTAAGGCCATGGCACTCTAGCCTGGGCAACAGAGTGATACTCTGTCTCAAAACAAAAAGTGTATTTTTTGACAAGCACCATGCTAGGTGCTTATTAACTTTTTTGCAAATGAGAAAACTAAAGATATGGCAGCTCCATGCCCTCACTTTAGACCAGTGGTTCTTAACCTTCCTAATGCCACAGCCCTTTAATACAGTTCCTGTGGGTCACGACCCACAGGTTGAGAACTGCTGCTCTAAACCCTTGCTAGTCCAGTGCTCAGAGTACAAAGGACTCCCAGGCTACTGGCCTAACTGGTCTGCCAGTCTCTAGATTCCACCCTCCTCATCAGTTGGTAGAGGCATGTCAAGCATCCTTGAGGAATTGAATCCCCAGGATCCTGCGGGTTCTCCCAAAGATTGGCACATTCAAACCCAGCTCATGTGCCCTGCAAGGTTACCCTCCATGCCCCACACTGCAACCCAGATTATGTTCTGGGAGCCCCAGTGTGACCTCTTTTGCCCCTGGGGCCCGTCAGACAGTCCTCCCAGGGTGCTGGGCCTGTTTCTTTTGGGAAAGGAGCTTCTTTATGCACCTGTGTCCTAGCCAGCTACAGAGCAAGTGCACAATCAATTATTTTGTAATTGTTTAATAGCAGCTGATCTGTTATTAAATATAAACAAAAAAGCTTAAAATGATTTTTAAGGGAATAGATAACGAAGTTTTTCCAAAATAGCCTTTACTTGTTTGTAAGAGAAATAGGAAACCCCAAAACATTCAGTCCTGCAATAAACCTAAATTCGACCTCAGTCAAGGTTTCCAATCTCTTTCCCTATTAGCTCTTAAAGCCACTTTTCTCCTTTCTTGTGGACTTAAGATTACTTTTTTTAAAACAGGAAAAAAAAAAAAAACAAAGGAAAAAAATGTACCAGGAAGAAAATCACCCTGGCCCCACCACTCCAAATTATCCACCTCAGATTACTTCTCACACAGACCATAGAAAAGAAACCAGAAGATTTCACTTTAGGCTTGGCGCCTGTGGCTCAAGTGGCTAAGGCGCCAGCCACATACACCTAAGGTGGCGGGTTCGAATCTACCCGACCGCCAAACAACAGTGATGGCAGCAACCAAAAATAGCCAGGCGTTGTGGTGGGCGCCGGTGGTTCCAGCTACTTGGGAGGCAGAGGCAGGAGATTCGCTTGAGCCCAGGAGTTGGAGGTTGCTGTGAGCTGTGATGCCACGGGACTCTACCCAGGTGAATAGCTTGAGGCTCTCTCTC